AGATGGCCCCTTGTTTATCTTCCAGCATGTGGGACCCCAGATTCTGTGACCACCACTCTTAATGCCATGCTTGAAGTCTCAGCCAGAGCTTTCAAGAAGGAAAGGGACGAAGACGTCCAAATTGTCAAGGAAGAAGTACAACTGCATTTGCAGATGATCACCTAAAGGTGCTCTGATAATGATCTGAACGTTAGGAGAACCAACTGAGAGTCAGCAAAGCAGCAGGGTACAAGATCAACATACGAAAGTCAGTGGGATCCCTTCACGCTAACCAAGAGTCACCTGAAAGATGAGCTCTCGCCTCGCCCCAGCACGAACAGCCGGGTTCAACACAGAGAACAAATGTGGGTGAGGGTGTAGACGAGACCAGAGCCCTCTTGCGCTGTCTCTTCCTCAAAGGGATGGTAACGAGAGACTGTGTACAAGACCCAGCAACCCCAGTACCTGGTACAGTCACGAAAGAGCACTCGACTTCAGCCATGTGCATGTGCCCCATCCTTTCTCCTTTCCTCCTTACTGTTCTCTGAAGGGGGCGTTTCTGGAGATGGGGAGCCGTTACTCATTTGACCGGATGCGTGCCTGTTGTGCCAGGCAGTTGTAGGAGCTCGAGGCAGATTGGTGAAGGGGGGCGGACCCAAATGCCCTGCCCCCGTGGCGCTTCTGTACGAGGAGCTCATGTGAGGTGGTGGCTTGGCATGCCATCACCAAGAGTATTCTTGGGACTGAGGCCAGGTCTCTGTCCCCGACACACCTGTATGTCCATGGATGGCTGGTGAGCACTCACCTGGAACACCTGCCCGTCGATCTCAGCGTAGGCCTTCACCGCGTGCTCGGGGAACATGAAGGTGACGAAGGCAAAGCCCTTGGGTTTCTTGGTCAGGCTGTCGATGGGGTAATGGAGCTCAGACAGGGGACCTGAGGGCAGGGGGAGCAGTGTCAGTCTCCTGTAGGCCAGGTTCAAGGGCCGGGTAAGAAGCTGCTGCGTACAACGGCGGCTGTTTAACTGGGGAGAGCATTCAACGACTGCTCTGGGCCAGCCCCGGCCTCTGCCTGCTGAGAGGCACCCCATCCCCCAAAGTCCTTATGAGGGGGGCTGTGAAGGACGTGAAAAAAAATGCCATGGCCTTGTAATTCCACTTTCCCACGAGCCTCTCGAAGCCACGGAACCTGGCTGAAGCTCGGTCTTGGGCCCAGATCCTGGCCTCCACAAGTCTCAGTCTGATCCTCTGTCCAATGGACACAGGATGAGTGCCTAACACAGGGCGGCGGGAGTTACTAGCATGCACCTACTGAACAGGGCCTGGCACGTGGCTAAGACACGCCCTTTCTCCATGTCCCCCCACCCCCATTTCCTGGGACGCTGTCTTCAGGAGCAGGTTACAGAGCCCTCCTGGTGCCTGCCAGGTGAGCAGGGCAGCGGCCTGTGGGCACAGATTTCAGAAGCATCCCAACCTTATACTCATTTGAACCGACTCTTTCCCCTCGGCATTGGGGACCCCACAGACCCACACAGGCTGCTGTGATGTGGCTGCCCTACATGGGCCTCACAAGTGACAACAGCGATGCTGACCCCAGCAGCCCCCACTGTCCAGTCAGTCAGCTCAGAGACCAAGACGGGTCCCACTTTCCCTCAGAGGGTAAAGGGGGGACACCGAGCCGGCACGTACACTGCTCTGCATCTGAGTGTGCGGCGGGAGGGTGGGGGCACAGGGAGGCTGAACAGCAAAGGGGGCTTGTCTGAGGTGACCCCTCTTGGGTCGCTGGCCCTACTGACCCCTTAAATCTGAGAGGGCTTCGAGAGGGTCGCGGGGGCCTACCATATGGGGAGAAGAGCAGCTGCAGGTCATCCTCGCTGCTGCTGTAGGGCAGGTTGCGCACAAAGAGCCTCCCGGAGTCGGCCAGGTCCTCCTCCTCCTCGTGCTCCCCAAGGGCCCGGCCCTGCCAGGGTTGACCACTGCTCCTCAGGGGCCCCTGGGCCACGGGAACGCTCTTCTCCCGGAACACCTCGATGTAGCGTCCACCTGCGTGAGGAGATGGTGGGTCAGATGTGTGTGTATGTGTGTGTGTGTGTGGGGGGGGGCCTTGACTGGGCATTCCAGAATCTTCTCTGTGGCTCTCCCAGATGCCGTGGCCAGGGTGCCTACATGGCCACACTGGACACCACCGGGGCTGAACTGCAAGGTTCTCAAACCTCTCTCACCCTTCAACTTCAGTTTCAGATGTGGGGCTGGTCCGGCTCAGACTATGGAAACATAGCCAAAGGATTCTGGGCACTCCCTACCTACTAGTCAGTGCTAGCCCCGACACTGGACAATCCCTGTGTCCTGCTGATGGTCCCCATATCTGCCACGTGCCCACCCCACACTTGCCCTTAGACCTACTGCCCAGGCCCCCACCCACAGCTGCTGCACCTGTCCTGACAGAACCTGAAACCCATGGCCCATGGCCCCGTGCCCTTCCCCTCTACAGGAGCCCCTTCCCCCACCCACGGCCTCAGGACTTGCTCCCTGGAGTCCTTCAGGTTTTGTCCCCGTGTCACCTTCTCTGTGGGGACAAAGACGCCACACCCCATTTAAAATCACCACCTCCACCTCCTGGTCCTTTCAGAAACGCCCAGGCTATGGAGAGGGCTGTGTCTTGCCCCCACTTCTCCCACTTTAGAGAATGTAAACTCTTCTGGAAATGAAGAGGAGGTCAGGATGGCCAACTCCTTGATTTGTACAGCCCAGAGGCCAGGGTCCAAGGCGCCCCCTTCCCCGATGTTCATCAGTGGGAGGGAACAAGGGCCTGCGCCCTCTTCTCTCGGCCTCTAAAACCCCAACTCACTGTGACCAAGCAGCTGTTCCTGATTCACAGTGACCCTAGAGGACAGAGCAGTATTGCCCCTGTGGGTGTGCCAGGCTGTAAATCTTCACGAGAGCAGACAGCCTCATCTTGCTCCCCGAGAGCAATTGGAGGGTGTGAACCGCTGACCTTGTGGTTAGCAGCCCAATGCATAGCCTACTGTGCCACTATACCTCTTGCCTCTTGGAGGCCCAAACATTTGATTCTCATTTACTTGGCCTGCTGCTCGCCGCTCTGTGGAGGATTCCTGTGCCAGCTCCAGGCACCCATTGTGTGGGCCTGTCTGCTCCCAGCTGTTTCCCCGCAGCCCAGCCCGGGGCCTGGCGCGGCCGGCTGTGCACCGTGCAATCAAATCCGCCTCCCTACCGGCCGGCCCCGCCCACCGGGCTTCCTTACCCATGTACTCCCTGTTGCATTTCAGCGCCTTCTTCACTTCCTCCTCGCTGTTGAAATCCACAAAGATATACCCTGGGGGGTGGAAATGACACAGGTGAAGGCTGTGGAGGACCCTCCGAGATGGACATACTCCCTGTGCTGGGGGCTCGAGGAGACCCGACCAAAACGGGGGCGCAGAGCGCTCTTATTTCTGCCGTCCTCCAGTCTACCTTCCCTTGGCGGGGAGCGTGGGGTGCAGAGTGCCTGGCTTTGTGGATAAGATTCTAGATCTGGAGTCAGACACACAGGAGCCCTCTGCCTTCCTGTTGTGCTCACCCTGGGCCCAGGCCACGCCGGGGCAGGACCCCTGCGCTAGGTGCCCTTTGCGTGTGAACAGCGAATCCGCACAGCTGTTAGACAGCTCTGCCCCTGGGGCACTGAGGGCTCCCCACCTGGCCCGGCTGGTGGGGCTCTGACACTGCAGCCCCAAGAGGCCACTCGGGAAAGGGACACTGCCCCACGCTCCTGCACTCAGCACTCATTGTTGCTGACGGACGGGCCCAGCAGCCCCCAAGCCCTGCTGACCTTTCTTTCCCCTCAAGCGGGAAACCCAGGGAGATGGGGTCCTGTGCTCACAGACGCAAGGTCCACAAGCGACGGGGAGTGGTCGCCCTTAACCCTGTCCTTCCCTCCCCCCTCGCCATCTGACTGGCCCACCTTCCCTCCTGGCCACTGTCCCTCGCCAACCCTTCCATACCGGTCTTGTTCCCGTGGGTGTTTCTCACGATCCGAATGGCCACTGGCTTCAGGGGTGCCAGGAATTCTGTAACGTTTTTCTGTCAGGAGAAACAAAGGTCTTCCCTGTCATCGATCCCATGAAAGAGGGACAAGTCTGGCTCAGGGAGACCTGCAAACAAAGGGCACTCCTGTCCTCTCACTGCCTTTTCTGCCCCCGGCAGGAGCCTATGGGTGGCGGTCAGGTGTGACAAAGACCACAGTGGGCTCCTACAGAGCAGGGACAACCAACCTCAACGAGCCTTGGAGGTTTCCAAGACCCTGGTGCCATCTCTCTCTCTCTCTCTCTCTCTCAGAGCAGCGAGTGGGTCCCAACCACAAAGCATTGGTTGGTTGGCAGCCGAGTGCCACAGAGGTGAGGCACTCTGTGGCACCAGGGCTCCTCTTGAGTACCACAGACCCTGCAACACTACGCAGCAGTGTGCCTTTCCTGTGAGCAGAGCAGCCTGCTGAGCCCTGGTGCAACTAATCGGGAGTGAGCCCCGCCGTCCTGTGCATGGCCCTTGTTTCTCCATCCTGGTTTTGGCCCCCAAGTCCCCCCAGCTGTTGACAGAGCTGGGCTGGCCCTAGCAGCCCCCTCGCCTCCGGCCCGAGTGGCTGCTTGTCTCTGTCCTTGGAGAGCACGTACCTCGGTGACGTTGAACGGGGCTCCTCGCAGCTTCACGGTGTGGGGAGTGGTGGGCTCCTTCTGGGTGGCTGGCCTTTCCATCTGCTGACCAGAGAAAACAGAAATGGCACAGTGAGCCCCCGGCAGCCCAGGGGTGATATAACATACTGCTGACCGGCCAGAACACTCCTGCTTTCCTGCCCAAACTCGGCCCAACACGCATGCGCTAACACGTGCTTGTACTCATGTTAGCTGAACCTGGAAGCAGAATTAGCCTTTATAGGAGGAGCCAGCTGAATGGGATGGTTTGGGCCTGAACTAAGCAGGTCAGTAAAGTGTTAATCTGGCTCTTCCAGCCATAGGCTTTGCTGCTCCCACCAAATGGCCAGTTTTCCTAATAAGTTTGCATAAGAAGGAGGGGAAGACACTGATTGGATGATACGATCCAGGCCTGAGTGACTGAAGTCCTGCTGGGGGTAAAGTGAGCAATGGCAGGGGGAGCTCATTACCAGCGAGAACCAAGAGTCAAGAGGGGAGCATGTCCTTTGGACCCTGAGATCCATGCAGACTGGACCTCCTTGGTCCAGGAGATGGCTGTAACACCAGAGGAGCATCAGCCGTAGAACCAGGAGCCACAGATCATGAGACAGAGTGGTGGGCTTCCAGCCACAGAGCAAGTAAGGCCGGGTGCTGGAGGGCAGCGGGCTGGCTTCTGGAGCGGGGCGCCTCTGGGCACTAACTAGAGGAGCTGGGCTTGCTGACCCACAGAACTGGAGCCGAGTGCTGCAGACTGAGGCTTAGAGCGGAGTGGGATACCCTCTGCTGGCAATGGTGAGAGCTTTGTCTGAGCAGGACAGGGTCCAGGCCAAGAGGATGAGTGCCAGCAAGAGGCCTGCCTGAGGGCACGGCACAGAAGAAACCGCCTGGACTGAACAAATGCACCCTGAATTTCTCACCTTCGTTGTAGCCTGTTAACTTCCCTAGGAAACCCCATACTCTGGAGCGTCGTCTGTGAGTTCTGTGTGGCTGCTGCAATGCACCATTAAACACAGCTGCCTTGGGGCCTGACAGCCTGCAACGGCCCATCATGGTCTGTGCCTGTGAGAGTCCAAGCCCCCATTTACACCTGTGCTGCAATGAGGTCAGGACCCAGGAAAAGGTAGGTGTGAGGTCTGGGCCCAGGCTACAGGGTAGGCAGAGGCAGTAGGAAGGGGACCTGAAACCCAGGGGGATGTACTACTGTCGATTTAGGGGAGCCCTGGAGATGCTGTTGAGTGAGCCTAGGATGCTAACCACAAGGTTGGCTGTTCAAACCCACCAGACACTCGGTGGGAGATCATCAGGGCTGTAATCCCATAATGCTCTGCAGCCTTGGGAACCCTACAGAGGGTTGCCATGAGGCAGAATCCATGTGCTGGCAGGGGGTTTGGTTTGGAGCTGTACCAAGCACGTTGCAGACTCTGGCCTGTGGCATCCTTCTGACAATGCTACAAAAACAATGGGTTTAACAACCCAAAAGCCCTCATCCTGGCTGTCCCTTGAGTGGACTCTGACTCAGAGGGACCCTCCAGGAGGGAGTAGCACTTCCTCTGAGAGTTTCTGAGACAGTAAATCTTGACAGCAGTGGAGAGCCTCCTCTTCCTTCTATTGAGTAGCTGGTGGTTTTGAACTAACCACCTTGAGGTTTGCAGCCATAGGTGTCCCAACTATGATGTCACTAGGGCTCCTAACTCTGGGTTTAGAGCCTGTGAGCCCAAGTCTGCCACCCAGCAGCCCGAGACGCCCTCTGGGCTGCACAGCGTGGCTCCCCGCTCTGGCCTGTCACACCCTGACAGAGGGGCCTGTCCAACCACAGGAGCACCACCCCCTGGGTGCCCACAGACCTCCACTTGGGCTTCCTGTGGGCGCTCCTTCCCGGCTGCAACCCCTTGCTCCCGGCCGGCCCCCTTCCTCTGCACTGCAGGCTGGGTGGGGGGGGGGGAGGCATCCTGGTCCTTGCTCCCCTCCTCACAGTTCACAGCTTCATCTTCACTCGCCTCCTCTTCCTCAGAAGATGTTAGCTCTGCCGACACCACCTTGGATTTCAGGTAGTCCATGTCAGACAGCCCCTTCTGCACAGCCGTCTTTGGGGTGAGGTCTAGGGAAACAAGGTGGGGGTCAGGTCGGGAAGACTTCCACTTCCTTCCCAGGGCTACCCGGAAGGGCCTCTTCCACATCTGACAGCTCCTCCAACAAGCAGGGTCACTCCGGCCTGACTCCCCTTCTGAGGTCGCTGTACCAGATGCAAACCCTCAGGGGAGCCCGAGGGACTAGATGGTGCCCAGCTGTGGGGCCTCATACTTTCCAAAGGCCCAGGTGTCCCGGACAGCTCCCAGAGATGACCACCCTGAG